CCCTGCGTACACTCTGAAGGCAGAGCTTGTGGAGAAGTACGAGGAAGCACCGTAAAGCAGATTTCTTTAGCAGTTTTTTCAGTGAGTGTGGCATTTTTTGTGGACAGAGGTTGTAGCAGCTTAAGCTACTTTTAAATGGTCGAGGGAGAGACAGCAGTGATGTGTGAGGGTTCATTAATTATTGCTCTTACTGATGTTTGCTCAGGCTGTTGGGATCATAAATGTCATTCTGTCAAGAGACTGTGATAGGTTCTAAAAAAACTGATTGAGTCCCTCAAAGGCTGTCACTGAGCTGAGTTAGAACAGATTCGTCTTTCTTCCGTGGAACCGAGGGAGGGTGAGGGTGAGGGGAATGGAAGCTGCTTTCTTCTCTTTGTTGCCGCTTGGCCTGGCCGGTTCTGTTCTGCGTTGTGAGTGTTGCTTGTGCAGAGGGCCACGAGCCTGCCTGTGCTGCTGGAAGGCCACAGCCGTGGGTAGTGGCCCAGGGTGTGTGCAGCCTGCCAGCTGCTCAGCGACAGCGGATTGAGAGAGGCTGGGATTCAGCTCTGACAGGCCTGACACAGTTTATTTGGAAATTTTCGGGAGAGAACATGAGTAATAAAGACAAGAACAGTGACAGTTAAGGAACAAATGTGAATTTCTGTCAGAAACAAAACAGAATTTAAAAGTAGCAGCTCTGTTTGTTGTCTCCAGTCAAGCTTTCCACTTCAGCCGTGTCCTAAATTGAACACCACAGTCAGAACACGAGTTTCTGCAATTGGGTAGGAAGGTACCACTGGAAGAATGGCTCTCTTTGAAAGGTGTATTTTTAGAATTATTGTACTTACTTCTCTGTCACAAATTAAGCAGTAGTTACCTCTAAAGCAAGAAAGCTGATGGGTCAAAATACTTTCTGTTGAGATTCTCCTTCCTTACTTCATCACAGTATTATTCTTGACCAGACTTGGCTTTGATTGATGTGGTGTATTTCTCGTTCTGTTAAACACTGGCAGAGAAACGAAGGATTTGTTAAGCACTTGCATGAGAGTTATCCAGCCCTGCATGGGTATATCCTGACTAGATTATTTTCTCAAGAAAAAGCATACTGGAGGAAAAAAATCTGCATTGTTGGCCATTTATGAAGGACTTTAATTAGAAGTCCCTCTTAACTCCTGGGGTGCGAGCAGTTTCCAGCTTGCCACTGTGGCTCCTCCTGCTGCTAATGAGCTGCTCCTTGCAAGGACTCCTTCCTTCTGACAGCTGAAGCTGCTCCAAGAGCTATTTCTGCTCACCATCCTCTCCACATTTAACCCTTACTACCTGAGTTCAGAGGCGGCAAGTTGATTATTAGGTGTTTTCCATCGTTGTTCAGGAAATTAAAAGTGCTTCAAAAAATAGGAATGTTATTTGTGAGCAAAAAGTAAATAATCAAGATTTAATTCAGTCAAGTATGAACAGTAGATGGTTCCTTTAATATTACCCATCTTTGGTTGCCTTTTTTCTGATAGTCTTTTTCTAATTGATATAACATTTATTGAATAGTTCATTGTGTAATTAGAATTCCTGCCCCGGACATCTGTTTTTCTTACTTAGGCAACTCACCCAGTGGCACAAGGTTTCATTAAGTAATTAGCAGAGGAGATGTAAATTTTACACAGACATGATGAGGATACTATGGACTGCTATCATTTTGTTAGCTTCTAATGAAAGCTCTAAGTTGACTTGTGAGAAGGTGCCAAAGAATGATTTGCTTAGCTAAGAAGTTAGCATTGCTGCTTTCCTGGTTGGCACCATGAGGAGGGTGGCAAACATTTGGGGAACTGTTTTCTTCTCTGTGGTGAAGAGAAGGCTCAAGGTTCAAGGATCCTTTCCATCTAAATAGAATCAACAGAGAGAAAAGTGAGTGAGTATGTTCATGTTATCTTTGAATATCTGAGAGTAGTTCCTTGATTCTAAAAAATTGTGTTTTTCGTTAGACATTTTGTCTGCCTTGCTGTAGAATCTAAGACTGCTTGCTTCCCGCAACTGAGACTTCCAGTACGTGGGTGCTGTTGGTGGTGGAACTGTGTAGATGCGGGAGGTTGACTTTCAGAGGACCCAGGCCTGGTGTACTTTGAGGACAGCTAGAAACTGTTGACAGTGTCAGAAACCTCCCTCAGGACCCACTGCCACAGGATGCCCCATGCCTGCTGCCTGCCAGTGTAGAGAACTCTGTAGTTTCTGTATCCACGTGGAATGGTTAGAGGAAAATGATCAGCACAGGACCTTGTGAAGGTCGTCTTTGGTGGTGGTGTTGAATGTTCATTGACCAGATAAGGTGGGGAATAAGAGTGGGCGGATCCAACTTTGGGGGATCCCATCAAATGACTTGATGGTCATGAGCAATGATTATGATTAGATAAATGTAAATTCTGTTTCTCAGTCAGAGGAATCATACATTTAAAAGTATTTTCTGCACATATCACCCTTTGCTTGTTTCAAAATAGTTAGGTCTGGATAGCACTACGACACCTGGGATTTCTTTTCTTTTTTTCTTTTCTGTTCTCTTTATTTTTTAGCTTTATTATCACATTGAAATTAAGTTGTCTTTTCTTTGTAGCAAAGGTTTGCTTTAGCAATGGAGGTGAGTGCTCTGTAGGCAGACCGTATACATTTGACAGTTCGGAGCACATTCATGTGGAAGGAACTTGCATTTCCAGACACACACCTAGTTCTTACAGAGGTGTGAACAAAAGAGGCTGCAGGCTCTGAGCGGTCCCCTCTCATGTGGGAGGTGTGCGGGCAACATGCCAAGACCCTCCAGATTTTAACAATATTGATGAACAGGCTTCCACTGCCTCCCCTTCCCGCCACCCCCATCAGATAAGGGGAGTGATTTCTTGTATAGAAGCTTCAAATTTAGGAGCTTGTCTAGAACAAACATAATTTTTTACTCCAGAATTTTCCTTTTATAAAAATAAAATCTAAGTAGGGTTATTAATACAAATAGTGTGATTGCTGGCTTGTGAAAAAGTACCCCCCCCCCCCCCCCGAGAGCAATGTGCTTCATACAAAGTGAATTCCTTTTGGCTGGCTGCTTTGTAATGATTTACATTTAGATTGTTGCTTGTCGTTCTTGTGATGGCAGCAGGGAGAGGGGGCTGGCGTGTCTGTGGCTGCCTTAGTCACCACACTGGCTGGGTCTGGACAGCTGTGCCCAGCAGCGCTGGGAAATAGGCTGAACTTGCTTCCATCAAAGGCCTTATTTAGTTGGTTTGTATTGGGGAAAATGTCGTGTCCGACTAGAAGAGTTAAATGAGATGAAAAATGAAGTTTGCAGTTGCTAAGAGTGGCGCAGGACCTGCTTATGCCAGTGCAGTCTGGTGGGGCTGTCACTGTTCCGGCCAATGGAGAACCTCAGTGAGGTACAGCATCTCCTCACACAAAGGCAGGCTGGGCAGGGGCGCAGCCTGCACTAGACCACATCCAGCAGGCTGCAGCTTCTCACTGGAACCAACGTAAATAGCAAGCCAGGACTGCCCACGAGAAGATCCATTCCGTGAGGAAAGCCCTCCTGAAGCTTACCTTCTCTGGGGGGATGTACATCAGGAACAGGGAGGAGGGGGGGTGGCGGGGCAGGGAAGTGTGGTCCTGATGTGATGATGCAAGAAAGCTCCACTGAAGATGTGACTTGAGAGCAAAGACGTACTAAAGGAGGTGAGGTCTCACGGAGAGCTGTGACAAGTGCTCCAGACGAGGGGACAGAAACTGCCAAGGCTCAGAGCAGTAGACAGTAATGAGGCTTGTGTGAATGCAGCAAAGGGGGAAAGCAGCAGGAGCTATGAGGTGAGGTAGAGGGAGGTAGATGGTACAGAGCCTTTGAGGATCCCAGTGTGCATTTGGATTGTACTCTGAGAAGGGGCACTGCACTGTTAGTAGGGTTTGAGCAGGGAAGTGATATGATTCTAACTTGATTTTTGACAGAATCACTTGGTTCCTATGTGGAAAATAAGCTGTAGGAGTAAAGGGGTCAGTAGGAAGAGGTCAGCCTGATACTAGGCTGGAGGAGATGGTGGTGGCTTAGAACAAGCTGAGGGTAGTGGAGGGGTAAGAGTGGTAGGATCTGGTAGACCATTTAGGACTACTCTGCTTCTGCCTGTGCCTGCCGTTGTGGCACCCTCCTGGGGTTGTAGTGCCGTAGGACAGTTTGCTTGTGAACAAGCAGAGATGCTTCATGTTTGGTAAAGTTGAATTAATCTTCAGCATTAGAGCCTGATTTTGCATTTAGAAGAAGTGGAAAAGATTATAGAGTGATTGTTGTGCTGCAGTATGTTAGGTCCACATCCTGTATCAGAGTATCTGAGTTGAATCCTAGCTACTCTACTTATCCAGCTTCCTGCCAGCGCATTTGGGAAGGCAGTAGATGGTGGCTCATTTCTTGGATCCTTGCTGCCCACATAGAGTTCTTGGCTTCTGACTTTGGCCTGACCCAACCCTGGCCATTGGCAGGCATTTGGGCGAGTGAACTATTTTTGCCCTGTCTTTCCCCCCTTCTTATGTCATCTTGCTTTTCAAAAAATAAGTCTTTTTGAAGAGGTTATAGAGAATCAAATACTGGCTTTGGTTTTGGAATTGTGCTAAGCGTAATGATTTAAATGTTCATGAGATATAGTCTCTTATCTAAAGAATGACAGTCTGCTTGACGACAAGCAAGATAACTAAGAGGAGGTTAAATAATCAATACAATCAGTATTCATTTAGGGTCCAGTGAAGAGGTACAGCCAAGAGACTGGTTTTGTTGAACTGTCCAGCCTGGCTCAGGCCTTCCTTGTCAGAAGCGGGCCGTAAATGTGCATGCCTGTCATAGTTTGTACAGTGTAATAAGCCAAGCAAGTCAGCATTGGTCACCTGTGTGCACGGGTCCAGTTCCTTGCTGGACAAGGACAATAGCTTGGTCGGAAGAGTGCCTGGCAGTACATGAAGTCAGCGGTACTCCTCAGGCCAGGCACTAGCCTGATCACCAAATGTGTTGTTTTGGTCAGATTCACAATCTGAGAACGAGGCTTCGCCAGTGAAACGGCCACGGCTACTGGAGAACACCGAACGGTCTGAGGAAACCAGCCGATCTAAACAGAAGAGTCGACGTCGGTGCTTCCAGTGCCAAACCAAACTGGAGCTGGTGCAGCAGGAGTTGGGATCCTGTCGCTGTGGTAAGCATCTCCCCCGGTGGCCTGATGGAGACAGTATCCAGTATCCTTGACCACCCTGGCACAGCTTGGGAAATGATTCTTAAGAGGCGAAGTCCTTTGTTATTCTGAGTACCACCCTGCTAGCTGTGGGATTAATGCTTGAGGAATTGGGAGTGCAAATCGTATGGCTTAGGTGAGCCCAGACCTTACTCTTTCACTGTGTTTTGCTCAACCCTGCCAGGAAATTTTAAGGACAGGAGTACTAGGGTTTGCCAAGGAAACTGCGGTGCAGTGACTAACCAGCTCCCCTCATGTGAGCTGCAGATCCTTGCCTTGGTGCGCACATGGTCCACTGGGAGCTTCAGCAGTCTGGTCTGTTAGGAGCACTGGGAAGCCTCCCTGACTGTGTGCCTCCTGCTTTTTCAGCATTGACCTTTGGGTGTCCTGTGGGATTTTCCTGTATCTCGTTTCTTGTTTTCTAACACCAAACCCTGGGTGTTACACAGGAGTTACCACCGCAGGGCAAGCATTTGGTCCATTGGGTGTGCTGTCTTGCTTCTGGCTGTGACTGTACCTCCTCTCTTCGTCAGGCAAGCAGTGAGAATTCACAGTTTAGTGCTGAGATCCACAGATGATGTAGCCCGGTCTCGCAGTTTACCCTTCAGCTTTGATGCAAACCAACTAATTTCCTAAAATTTGTAGCACTGGCCAGCTGAAGAAATCCAGAAATATGTGTTAGTTGACTTCTGTGCATCCCAGTGAAGCCAGCTGCACTGAAAGTGTGGGCTCCTCTGCTGTGCTCCTCATCCTTCCGGGCAGCAGGCTCATCTCTTATGTGCCAGTTGGGTCTGCATGGGTTTTAAATGATCTAATGTGTCTTCCTTTGGCTTGTGCTGTATTCCTTTTTTTAGTCTTAAGATTTATTTTTATTTGAAAGGTGGAGTTACAGAGAGAAGAGGGAGAGATCGTCCATCTGTGGGTTCACTCCCCAAGTGGCCGCATTGGCCAGAGCTGGGCAGGGCCAAAGCTAGGATTTCCTCTGGGTCTTACATATGGGTACAGGAGCCTCTAAGTACTTGGACCATCTTCCACTGCTTTCTCAGGCTCATCTATCAAAGAGTTGGATCAAAAGTGGAGCAGCCAGGACTTGAACAGATGCACATATGGAATGCCAGCATTGCAGGTGCAGCTTAATGTGTTAACATCACAATCCTGGACCCTGAGCCCTATTCTGAGCGTCTCCTTGATGAAAAGTTGACTTTTCTGTTGGAGTAGAAAGCCTGCTGGTAGGATCTGGCACTGTGGTGCAGTGGGTTAAAACCCTGGCCTGTGGTGCCAGCATCCCATATGGGCACTGGTTTGAGTCCTAGCTGCTCTATTTCCCATCCAGCTCTTTGCTATGGCCTGGGGAAGCAGTGGAAGATGGCTCAATGCTTGGGCCCCTGCTCCCATGTGGGAGGTGGGAGACTCAGATGAAGCTCCTGGCTTTGGATCAGCCCAGCTCTGGCCGCTTCAGCCATTTGGGGAGTGAACCAGTGGATGGAAGATCCTCTGTGTCTCTATTTCTCTCTGTAACTCTTTCAAATAAATAAAACAAATCTTAAAAAAAAAAAAAAAAAAAAAAAAAGACGGCAGTGGGCACATGCCTTATCTCTGGGACTATCTGACAAATAGCTCTGTGTGCTTCCTGCCTGTCTGCTTGGATCTCTGTAGAAGAGGGTGGGTTATATGGGTATTTCCTTGAAGATGCACCCAGTGTTGGAGAGATATTTAACTGCCTTGAAAGATTTTAGAGGGGGGAACTCAATCATTTACTACTGAAAGTGAGGACCCAGAAAGGTAGTCTGAACTCAAACAAGAACACTTTCTCACAAGAGAAAATCATATATATATTTTTTTTCCTCACAATATTTTCTTCCATTCCCCTTCCACGCAGTACAGGTTATTAACTGCTGACAAGAAATTCACATCTCATAAATAATGCTTAAGAGCCATTGCTATATAAATTGAATGTGTTATGAATTGTGATGGGCCTTTTTGTAGCATTCGATGCCTAGAGCAGGAAGAACAGAGGATGTCATTTTCATTAATTTCTAATGAGGTGCCAATTAAAGGCAGGGAAGATGCTCCAAAGGGAAGAGTGGCCAAGCTCCCCTGAATCCTCCACCCTGGGGCTGTCATCCGAACACTGCCAGCAAAGCCTTCTCTAAAAATTCCATTAAATTACAGTCTCATCGCGAGCACACACAGACACATTCAGCTTCCCTTTGATCTTCAAAAGAGCAATTTGTAAGGCGAGTTCTGAGCCTTCTCACATAGGGAACAGCAATAGGTGATAGGAATTGTTAATTGGCAAGACAGTCGTGGGCTTTCAGTGAGGAGGTGAATTTTGAAGACGAGTTCTCCTCTGCCTTACTATGACTAGGTAACCTTTAAGTCAACGAAACCAAAGGAGCACCCTGTTCCTGGGAAATCTGTTAGGGTGCCAATTAGAAGAGGCATGTGGCGAGGCTGCATCCTAGAGCATCTCCAACAGATTAACTTCTCAAGATAGAAAACAGTTACATCAAAATGGATTTATTTGTTTCATTTTGTCCTCAGTGGGCAGACTGATCAGCTCATTTGCAATGCCTTGAGTCTTGTCTCCTAGAGGTTGCCCCCTAAAGGGTGTTCTGGAGTCTAGCCATCCTCATCCAATCTGGACACAGGAATACTATCTGCTCTAAGCAGATCTTGCCTGGTACACAGCATGGTTTTCTGATCACTGTGCGTTGCTTTCCAGAGCCACAGAATTAATTTTTAAATTCCATTCTAAGAGCTTGAATAAGTTTTTGCATATTTTTGATTGATGGTGACATAACAGACTATAAGCTCCCTTTTGAGACAGTAGTGCTTTTACTAGTAAGTTTTCTATTCACTTATGAAGTCCAGAGTGATGTTTTAGCTAGGGCTTCTTATCATCTCCAGGTACCTCAGTGGCCATTTCTACCTTATCATTCACTGTCAAACCAGATCCAGTAAGCCTCTATTGAGCTAGGACTGCATACAAAGCATTTTGCTGGGTTTTATGGAGAATGTAGGAACTAGAGATAGAGCATCTCGGTTGGTGATCTCAAACCCACCATCACCTGGAGGGTGTATGAAAACAGGTTGCTGGGCTCCACCCCCAGCAGTACTTGCTCAGAGAAGAAGTTTTCAGACGATGCTGATACTGCTTGTCAGAGGACTATACTTGAGAACCAATGCTGTAGGCAATTCTCAGTCTTTGGGCGCTATTAAAAAAAAAAAAAAAAAAACAACTGAGTCTAACAAAACACTTAAGTCAGAAGAGTTCCCCTAGGTACTGCTTTCAACTTTTTATTTTTTATTTTGAAATATTTTTAGTTCTTCAGCTTTGTGAACTTCAGAGAGTATTTTCCAAGAATATGAGTATCATTTTATAAAGCCACAACATATTGATTCTGACAAAATACTTTATATCAAGACTGTTGTCCCGGGCCAGCATTGTGGCATAGCACGTAAAAGCCACCACCTGCAATGCCACCATCCCACATGAGTGCCAATTCAAGTCCTAGCTGCTCTACTTCCGATCCGGTTCCCTGCTAATGTGCCTGGGAAAGCAGCAGCAGATGACCAAGTGTTTGAGCCCTTGTACCCACGTGGGAGACCTTAGTGAAGCTCCTGGCCCCTGGCTTCAACCTGGCCCAGCCCTGGCTGTTGGTTGCCATCTGGGGAGTATACCAGCAGATGGAAGTTCTCTCTTTCCCTATCTCTCCCTCTCTCTGTAACGCTAACTTTGAAATAAATTTAAAGATCTTTTAAAAAAAAAAGTATAAAAGAATAGCTTTCTTAAAAAAAAGTTTTCTATAATCTAGTTTTATTAGTTCTCTATAAAGGATCTTTCATTTTCTCAGCTCCCCCATCCTCCTGTAGTGTGGGATCTAGTTCATGATCAAGTGTGAGTTTAGTTGTCATGTTTATTTAGATTATTTTAAATTTTTTCAAATATTTTGACATAAAAATTTTATGTATTTTTGGGGTATTCTATGATGTTTTGTTACATGTATGCATTATATAATAGGGTAAATATATTTATCCCTTTAATCATTTAACATTACTTTTTTGTGAAAATACCCCAGATCTGTTCTGCTCAAGGTTTTTTAGTTGGTGGTGGTGGTGCTTCATTTGAAAGACAGATAAATCTTAGATCCACTGGTTCACTGACTCACTCCCCAAATGCCTGCAGCAGCTGGGGCAGGGCTGGGCCAGGCTGAAGCCAGGAGACAGGAATTCCATCTGGATGTCTCATGTAGTTGGGAGGGACCCAAAGCCCTGAGCCCTCAGCCACTGGCTGCCTCCCAGATGTATTGGTGGGAAGATGGTTTGGAAGCAGAGGAGATGGGACTTGAGCCAGCACTCCAGCGTGAGATGCAGGCATCCCCAGCAGTAGCTTAACCTGTGTCAGAATGCCCACCCCTTCTGGTTTGTTTTTTAATAGAGAATTATATGTTATATTAGTTACAGTAACCCTACTATGCAGTAGAACCCCAGAACTTCTTACCGCTCTCCAGCTATCTGTCCCCTCGTAGCCATCAATCAGCCCTTCCCCATCCCTTCCTCTCCACTTCCCTCCCCAGCCTCTGGTATAAATAACATTATATTTTTAACTTTATAAGGTCACCTGTTTTTCAAATTCCACGTATGTGTGAGTCATTTGTGCTTGACTTAATTTATTTAACATAATGATTCCCAGTTTTATCTGTTGTTGGAAATAATAAAATTCCTTCTTCTTATGACTAAGTAGTATTTCATTGTACATGTGTACCACATTTTCTTTATCCATGCATTAGTGGACGGACACTTACATTGTTTCCATTTTTGGCTAGTATGAATAGTGCCTGTAGTAAACACAGGAGTGCAGATAGCCCCTAAATGGGCTTGCTGATCATATGGCAGTTCTACTTTTGGTTTTTAAGGAGTCACTCTACTGTTTTCCACAGTCCTGGACTGATTAACATTCC